GGCGATGTTTCCTATGCACCGCTACACCGGGGTACTCAGTTGAGGCTGAGTCGACCTAGGGGAGGCCCACGGACCGGGGTCAGATAATCGCTATCCAACCGGTGTTGGTGGCCGTGAGCAGTAATCGAACTCGGGTCGCCGGGTTCGTTGTTCGGCGTAGCGCTAACCGCTGCACCACCGCTCCCCCCACACCACCACCACCACACCACACACACAGAGACACACACACGAGGACAGGCAGGTAGCAACAACACGTACACAGTGGAGCAGCGGAACAAAACGGCCGACCGTATGAAGTTGGTAGGCAAGTAGTAGGTCGAGGAGGATGGAGGATGATGATGGGAGGATGGAGGATGATGATGGGAGGATGAGGATGGAGGAAGATGATGGAGGAAGGAGAGGCCGTCTCTGCCCACCTGAGTTGCGAGAGAGCCGCCGACTTCTCTCTCTCGCCAGCGGCGTGATGAGGGCGCGGGTGGAGCGGAAAAAAAAACTTAAGAGGAGACACACATTGCAACATACACACACACGCACGCACGGACGACACACTGACTCACACACACACAGAGACAGACGCGGGCGTTGCTTAACAGCGCCTCCACGTGGACGGACAAAGGCAATAAAGACAAAGATCCCCCGTGTAGCCTTCACATACTGTTTGGGGCAAGTGCTGTTAGCGAGTTAGCACCTATGAAGGTTGGCACTGTGGCACACACAGAGGGGGTGGGTGGCAAGCAACCACGCCCGCCCGCTTTTGTCTCCCCAGTGCTGATGTTGTTACACACCGCGACGCCAGGTACTCATTTGAGGCTGAGTCGACCTAGGGGGAGACCCGGGACCCGGTTCGGATAATCGTCACTTGGCGTTGGTGGCCGTGAGCGGGAATCGCGCTAACCATTGCGCCACCGCTCCCCCGCACGTGGATGGACAAAGGCAATAAAGACAAAGATCCCCCGTGTAGCCTTCACAGACTGGTTGGGGCAAGTGCTGTTAGCGAGCAGCACCTATGAAGGCCACTGGCACTGTGGCACACATGGAGGGGATGGGTGGCTAGCACCACGCCCGGCCGCCTTTGTCTCCCCCTAGTGGCGATGTTTCCTACACACCGCGACACCAGGTACTCGTTTGAGGCTGAGTCGACCTAGGGGAGGCCGGTTTAGATAACACTGTGTAACAAACAAAATGTTTTGTTCCTGGGTAGTAAGTGTTATTTCCTAATTGCTTATGCCTGAAAACTACAGAAAATGGCTATTATTCCCCACAAACTTTGCTTTTGTGACCAGGACAGTGATATTTTGAAATTTACCTATTTTCAATGAGAAAACGTGTGCATTTGTGTCATTCTTTCATATAAAGTCCTGGTCACAAAAGGAAAGTGTAGGCGTGAGCAATAAAAAAAATAACTCTTAGTACCCGGGAACAAAAATTGTGTTACATAGTGTTATCGTCACTTGGTGTTGACCGTGAACGGGAATCGCGCTAACCATTGCGCCACCGCTCCCCCGCACGTGGAAGGACACACACCACGTTACGCACGCAGACACGATGCGAATACTTTATTGTATGGTGACAATGCGAACACCGCCCGCACTCCCTCCAAAGTTAACTGATTATTGTTTTTCCTGTTGGTTAAGTGTATTTAATTGTTTTATGATGTTCATGAGTCGTAGGGGATATAATCAATCCCATTCATTTATAAAGGTGAACCAATTATTCGGAAGTGGTGGCACAAGCGCTAAAACAACAACAACTCCACGCATTCGTCGATAATACGGTTCGATAGTGCTATGAAGAAGGGTCATTGCCCGAAACGTCACCTGTCCAATCACCCTCGCTGCTCCCTCCTCAATTAGAAGAATTCGTCTGGCGGAGAATGAATGAAAAACACAGCTGTCAACTCCTTACCAGTGCCCTACCTTATCACAGACCAATTCAGACTTTATTGGTCACCCCGTGCCCCTTATACATCTCAACGTTCATCCTACAAAGTCCCATCACAAGGGAGAAACACAAACAAATATCCAAAAAAGTGTTTGAAACGACTGTACGCTGCATGGACCTGAACACTAAATTTCCTGCACAAGAATACGGGGTAAACCGTATGGGTTGACAGCTATGGAATAATGGCGAATTATTAATTAGTCATTAATTTATGGAATGAATAACGGATATCCGTAATTCAGCCACGATGTATATTGTGTACACATTTACCTATACACTACCTCCATAATACAAGTCTTTTTTGGGTTAGATCGCGTAAATATATAAATGTGCCGTTAAAATCACCAGCACCTGACGCAGCCCATTTGTAAGGTTTGTCATGTAAACCGAACATGCCAATTCGTTACTAATACAACACACCGGTGTGTTGGAGAGCAAAGTCACCACATTTACAATCTGAGTACGACGTTTCGCCAGTAATTACAACTGGCGAAAGTCGTACTTATTGACACGAGAGTTTGATAATGTTTAAGTTCTTTGCAAAACTGAATACTACTGGCCAAGACTACATCTTGACTTAAAGCTTTCGTGACTGCAGGAATTCATACTCTTTGGGTCTTTCGGTAAAGTCACGTATCGAAATTCAGAGAAATAAAAATAATTGTAACTGTTTGGATAGCTAGACTTAGTACTGCTTGGAAGCGAATCATCAAGTACAACATTGTTTAAATGCATGCCTACAGAGGCCACCACACTTCAACAGGGATTACCGTTGAACAATAAAGGGTACGGCTATTTCAGTGTACACAATCGACAGGAGGTACAAGAACAATAGGCTTGCATAATGCGCATGCATAATATAAATAACTCAACCGGCAATGGATACCCATAGTAAGTTATATGCATTCATTACCCCCCACCCCCACTTCGCGCAAGAAGGGCTCACAAGTGATGTCATCACATCTACCCCTCTATTTAAGAAACGAAACAGGAGGATTTCTCCACAAATCTGTCTGTCGCCTGATGAAGCTAGTTGTAATTACTGGCGAAACTTCATGCTCAAATTGTAAATGTCGTGGATTTACTCTCAAAACACACCGGTGTGCTGTACTATTAACGAATTGGTATGTTCTGTTTACGTGACAAACCTTACTAGTTGGCTGTGTCGGGTGGTGGCGGGTTAAATGGCACATTTATATATTTACGCGATCTAACCCACAAAACCTGTATTATGGATATTGGTCGCGAAAACCTACGTGTTAAATTACACACTACCTATTAAGTTCTACATTATTATTTAAATGATAAATTACCATATAGACTCACAATATATTTTATTAATGAAGAGAGGAGACAGGGTGGCTTAGAAGGCAGTGCTGAGCCGGCACCATCGAGGTCCTTGGGTTGGAATCCAGCTCCACAAGTGTAGTGAATTCATAGTCTCAGTGGCTGCACAAAAAAAACCCCATTAAATATAATCAGGTTCTGCGCTTAATTTGGCTAAATTCCAGCCTTAGAATTTTAAAAAACACACTTGTTGCTCAATATTGCTCTCAGTAGCAGTGAGTGGGAAAGCGCTGCCCTCTGTTGAGCGCATGTAAGGATCTAGCTCAGAGGTAGCTCTGTGAAATCTGCGTCCGCGTGCTGTTCTCTAACACGATGGGTTGCACTGCTCTGCGAGAGTACAGAATGAATTCTTCGACAAGGATAAATGACACGGGGAACATCAGCCTGTTTCAACATTCGTGCAATAAACACCCTAAATCCGTTTTGAGTTTACATTTATTAATTTCACAACGGACAATTTTAAAAGTAATTTGTTCGAACCAATCACAGTCATTACAGCAAATGTGTTTTCTTTAATACGGTACATTAGTTGACTTATGTTTGTGCAGTTTCTTCGATTTCTCCTGCAAGTAGAGCGCCGTTGTTTTTTTTGCACCAACTTCAATTTTCTTTTCATTTCTCTCCACCATTGGTGCACGTCCTTCTGCTGACCCCATAATGCCGTCGTTCTTGCTATCAAAAACTGTCGTTACGGGAAATATGTTTTCATTAATACAGTAAGTCGACGCATTTTTTGTGCAGGAATCTTCGATTTCTCCACCAAGTATAGCGTGCCACCGTTTTATGTTTTTCACCAACATCATCTCTGCTTCATTGCTCGACATCACCGCTGCTACACGTCGTCAGTCTGGTGACCCCACTCTTGCTACCAAGACTCTCTTTGCCCCAGCCTACATCGTTGACACGTTGCACCCATGTGTCTCCCTCAAGGTCCCCTAACATCTGGGCATGATGCAGATACTCTTCTCTGCATTCCCAGGTCGAGGTCTATGGGTGACCGAGATTTTCCCCCGTGGAGCCCCCAAGCTACGGAACGCTCTTCCACGAGAATCAGAGGGATCTCTCCGAGTCTCTGGACAGTTGTGAAATGCGCCTTAAAACCTATTTATACGCTTCCTCTTATTAAACCTTTAGTGCATTTAGTAAATTATTCTTACAATATATAGGGTGTTTCAAAATAATGTTAATACTTCTGAGAATTTGCAACAATACCACAAGAAATGTGCCTCCTGCTACTGGAGACCACCTGGAGAAGATTCCAGGCGTATGTTGACAATGATGGTGAGCAGGTGGAGACTGAATCGATAGCGGCAATCGATTATCGTTGCGTTCCATCCAAAACCAATCGATTACCGTTGCGTCCAATCGATAGCGGCAATCGATTACCATTGTGTTCCATCCAAAACCAATCGATTACCATTGCTTCGAATCAATAGCGGCAATGGATTACCGTTGCCTTACATCGAAAACGAATCGATTACCAGTGCGTCGAATCTATCGCGGCAATCGATTTCCGTTGCGGTTCCATCCAAAACGAATCGATTAGCAGTGCGTCGAATCAATCGCGGCAATCGATTTTCGTTGCGTTTCCATCCAAAACAAATCGATTACCGACACGACAAATCGATCGCGGCAATCGAATCGTCCTCACAATTCGGGTCTCCAAAAGCCCTCGGCAGGCTGCTTCCGCTTTCCGGTTCGCCGCGGTCCCTTCCACCAGTGCAACTTGGGGGGGGGGGAGTGGAGGCGCTTGTGGTTGGTGTGTGTGGTGGGGGGGTCCCTTATTATGAAGGGGGTCCCTTATTATGAAGGGGGTCCCTTATTATGAAGGGGGTCCCTTAAACCGCGGGGACGTTCACCCGCCCACTGCATCGCCCCCGAACGGGGAAGGGACTTTTATTTCTGCAAAGGCTCCGCCCGGTGAAGGCGGCTCATGGCGTTGGCACGGGACCGGGCACGGCAAGGCTCGCAGGTCGGTGGGGTAACTGCCCCCCCCCAAGACCCCCATGAGAGTGGAGCTGCGGGGGCGAGGGGGGGTAACCGACGTTACCCCCCCCGCGGGATGGAACGTGATCCCTTGTATAAAGGTGTCAGTTTTTGTACCAGTTGAAAGGGTAAAAACCTACCACTATATTTTGCCACTGGCAAAGGAGACGTCTCTTAGTGTGTTACCCCCTCCGTTAGAAAGCAGGCCCCCGGTTGGAGCTGGCCGTGGGATAGTGGGGGTGGGGGGGGTGGACACGTTGCGGATAAAGTCGTCTGTGCTAGTGGCAGTGCTCTTAGCCTTTGCTCCTTCACATCTCCCCGATGCGTCTGTGATTGCCCCCCACTCTCCTCCCCCCCTCCCCATTACTGCCAATACGTGGTGCGTGTGGACGTGGTGGGGGGCACTTGCATCCTGCAGTGGATGTCACAGCGGTGTTGAATGCGACAAGGAACTGAGACCCCCCCCCCCCACCACCACCACGATAATTGTTGTGCGGTTCGATTCCTGGCCACGACCCCCTGTGGCTTTGCTCGAATTGTTAACCCCAAAGCTCCTCTCATTGACCCCAAAGCTCCTCTCATTGACCCCATTAATTGTTTTAATACAGCGGATTGACGAGCACAGTCCCAAAGTTGCCCGAAACTCCAAGCGGCCAGCGATAAACACCACTGTTGGTGTAATCGATAAGAATGTATAGATTCTAGATTTGAAGCTTTCTTGACTGCAATGATTCATATTCTTAGTTTTTTTCGGTAAAGTCACAGCCACGACAGCTGTATCAAGTACATTTACTTGATACAGCTGTCGTGGCTGTGACGGTACCACCTGAAGACGGAGGCTTGTGTTGCCTCCGAAACGTCGTGATTTTTATTTTATTTTACTTTTTAATGTTTTTACCTACGTGACTTTACCGAAAAAAACCTAAGAATAAGAATGTATAGAGTTGTGTGTGTGATCTGCAGCGCGGTGAGTGTATGTGTGTTGAACTTCTTTCGCACCGTACGTAGCCGACCGTGTATTATGGAGGTAGTGTATAGGTGAATGTGTACACAATATGCATTGGGACTGAGTGACGGATATTCGTTATTCATTTTTGAATGAATGAAGAATGAATCATTCGACATTATTCCATAGCTGTCAACCCATACGGTTTAACCGTATTCTTGTACAGGGAAATGTAGTTTTCAAGTCTATACGGCGTATAGCCATTACAATACAGGCACATTTGTGTTGTCTATTTGTTTGTGTTTCTCCCTTGTGATGTGACTTTGTAGGATGAACGTTGAGATTTATAAGGGTACGGCGTGCACCAATAAGGTCTGAATTGGTCTGTAATTAGGTAGGCACTCATAAGGGGTTGACAGGTATGGATAACTGAAAGCCCTCTCTCGTGGCAAACAGACCTCAGCATTGGCACTTAGCTCCTGAACACGTTGCCATCGTACACAACAGTAGCATGGTGGGTGGGTGTGTTGTTGTGTCCTGCATTGTGGTGGTTGAATACAGGTATGGGTGAGACGAAACGGCGGTAGACAAAGTTCCTCAACATTGATGGAGGAATCGCTGCGGGAAGTTCACCGGAGCAGTGTCCATGTTGTAGTAGTAGCGTTAGAAGAGGGATTAGGAGGCGACTGAACACGATTTGCAGCGTGTGAGTAAAGGAGGGAATTCCAAAAGTGGAGCAGTGCGAGATAAGACAGAGAGGGTGAAGCAACTCCTGGCCTTAGCCTAAACTTTTTTCAAACTTGACTATTTGACCCCATTGGTACCTCATTTGCCAGTAAAAAATATGATAATTGGTTTTTTACCCCTTTTATTTGGCAACAAAATTGACACCTTTTTTTACGAGGAATCATGTTTGCATAGACCACAATACCTGCAGTTATAATGCAAACAAAAACATAACTCTGATAATGTATGCACTGTCCTTGAAGTTGATTGGTCCACACCCGAGACAGCTTTCCTTAGAGCCTAGTCTCACATGGGTTGGACCAGATGACGCCAAAAGGCGCACAACTCAAAGACAATGCACCATCAGAGTATGAGAGCTCGGGGTGAAGCATTTACACCATTGGTACCTCATTTGCCAGTAAAAAATATGATAATTGTTTTTTTACCCTTTTATCTGGCAACAAAACTGACACCTATTTTACGAGAAGTCATGTTTGCATAGACCACAATACCTGACTATTTGACCTTGATTGTGACCCCCGCAGGGCCCGGAGCACAGCTGGACTGATGACCTCCCGGCATGCCACCTCTCTGGAGTCGGGGTCATTCCCAACCGCGTGTACGGGGCCGACGGCGCTGCGAGGGAGACGCATCCTTACCAGGACTGCAGCCTTCGGCTCAGGTCCGTTGTGGGGGCTGCAACAGCGATTGTGACATTCGCAGCAGAGGTTGACTCCAGCATCAGAAGCAGCAATAGTTGCACGAGCTATAGTGGAACTTAAAGCTGCAGTACCTGGCTGCAGCAGCATTAGTGCCAGCAGCAGCTGTCTCAAAGGTTATGGATACCAACAGAAGCGGGAGTATCAACATTGACACCTGTCGTGGCAGCAGTAGCAGTGACATCGGTATAAGAAGCAGCACATGAATGTCACGTGTGTACCATGCCTCGTGTATCATGCCGTGTGTACCGTTGCCGTATGTGCCGTGACACGCACGATATCGCGTGCGCTGTGTGTACCAGGAGCGAGGAGTGCTGTCTGTATGGCGTGTGCCGTGGCTTTGAGGGCGCCCGCGTCTCGGCATTTGTGTCTCAGCGACTGGCGGCCGAGCTGCTACTGGGACAGCTGAGTTCCAGCGACTCCGACTCCAAGGTGAAGACGGTGCTGCTGCAGGTGAGACGGTGCCACCAGCACTACTACCGCCACCGGCCTTGCCGAACCCAACCTGTCAGTATCATCGCCGCCACCGCAACCGCTATCTAACCCAGCAGCACCACTGTCACTGCCGCCAGCGACATCCACCGCCACAAGTCACGACTGGAATTTTCACAACCAGTTTGGGGTCCTCAACAAAGACAAAGCACCATTCACCGCTCGGTTGAGGAGGGAAACATGCATGGTGACACCAACCACAGCTCTTCCCATCACAAGCAATGGCACCAACTCCACCATTAACAAGTCCACCACAGCCACCATATCCACTACCCAATCGAATCCGCCGGTGCCGTCATCAGGACCATTATCCAGCCGCACCTGCCAGCAGAACCACCATCAACTCTTAAGATAAACACTACCCCTATCACAACCACTACTACCGTCAGGCCCATTGCCACTACATCCACTGCCACCTCCCCACCTTCTCCAGCATCGCCACTTGCAAGACTACAATCAACCCCACAACTTTCATCCAAACAAAACTCAGTTGACATCTCAAGATAATCATAATAATAATAGACCGACAATCTCACCAGGGCAGCACTGTCTGTGAAACGAACATGTGTGCCCATGCGTGCCCATGTGTGCGTGCAGGCGTTCGATGTGGTCGAGCGGAGCTACTTTGAGTCGATTGACGACAGCCTGGCAGAGAGGGCTGACCTGCAGTCACGGCTGCCTGAGGTTTGTGATCATTGATTTGTGACCTGCTCATGGGTGTTTAGGGTAGCCATATTCCCCTGCACACGCATACGTGTCTTTGTGCGCACACGTTTTCACACACACGTGTTTGCGTGTTCCAGTGTGCTGCTGTGTAAACGTGCTCACGTGCATGTCTGTGAACACGTGCGTACATGTGCTTGCGTGTAAATATGCGTGTGCGTACATTTCTTTGCGCAAGTGCGTATATGTGTAAAATAAGCGGTTCAGTAGTTCCCGCACTACACTACAATCGCAGTTACTTGGATTTGATTCCCAGCCATGTCCAACATCAGTGGAAAATATCTAAACCGGTCCTGGACCTCCCTTAGGTCAAATAAAGCTTAAACGCATACATGATGCAGTATGTAACCATCACCACTGTGTAAACACATTCGACCTGGCGTGGTAATACCCACATGATCCCCCTTTGTGTGCCGTGCCGGCTTTCATAGGTGCTCGCTAACTGCACTTGCCCCTAACAGTTTTTGCTTTGTTTTTGCTTGCAGGGTCTCAGCTCGTTCCAGGCAGCGCAGCAGTACCCGCAGCTGGTGGAGCGGCTGGCGGCGGTGGAGCGCGAGGTGGCGGGCGGCGCCACGGCCGTGGTGGCGTTAATCCTCAACGGCAAGCTGTACATCGCCAATGTTGGTGCGTGCGCCGTGGTGGAAAAATAACTGGATCTGATAAAGCGGCCGTAAAACAAGCTTCCGGGCCCTTACTAAATACAGCTGCGCGTAGATGGACTCTGGGAATTTCACATCACGGCAAGAAAGTTGTGAGGAAATTCGTTGCTTTGAAAGAGAGCAGAGCAGGAAAGTTCTTGAGGCGTTTTCATGAAGAGAAAGTCACGGTGGGTGGGACACGTGTGCGAGATGGAAGATGGCAGGTTATTGAGACGGGCACTGGAGTGGCCTCTCCTGAGCTTGGTGACCAAGGGGAACAGACGTATGTTGAAATTCTTTCGCACCGTACGAACCAACCGTGCTTATCGGAGGTGCGGGGGAAGACCTAAGGACGTCCTTTGGAGGGTGAGTCAATGGTATCACCAAAGGAAGACCTAAAGCCCGATGTTACTGATGACAAGCATGTAAGCGCAGATCTCGGAGCGTCAGGTGCCCACCGTCTAAAAGATGCAGGATCTGGCATAAGCGAGGAAGTGATGGCGCCGTGACTTGTTTTTTGTTGTTTCAGGTACCAACCGGGCTCTGCTGTGCCGCTTGGCAGGAGATTCCACACTGCAGGTGACACAGCTGAGCATGGACCACCACGCACAGAATGAGGCGGAGCTGCAACGGCTCGCCCAGCTAGGTGAAAACACAAACATTTGTCTCACGCGGTGGGCGACCCGTTGGATTTGATTCATGGCATTATGCATCAGCGAGACTTCAACTGTCCAACCATTGTGCCTGGGTTTATCCTCCCCATGACCCCTCTTCTTGTCAGTGTGGCATAACCTCTCCACATGCTCTCATCAAAATGCACCATTACAATATGATTATTACACTTTTTTACCCAGGAACGCCTAAGTCCTCCATTTTAACAACAGGGGGCGACCTTTGCTTTGTGTTTCCCCAATCAAGTCATTTGTGGTGTAAGTTTTCCAACTTGGAATATTTGGACCATGGCGCCAGCACGCAATGGCCTACTCTTTATATTGACGTCAGGTGATCTTTCACGCGTCCACAGTGAAGCAGATGGCACGGTTATTATACCGGCAGTGTTAATTAGGGCGACTGCTATGGATATAGGAACTGTGAACCTGAACTATGAACCTCTGCAACAAGCGTTGAACACACTTCCTTTGGGCCATGTCACCGTGCCTAGCTTGGCACAAGTACGAGTGGCATCATGTTACTTAGTGGTCAGTTGTGGCTGTTGTTGTGTGTTTTGGCCGTGTGCATATCTGCATGTACATGTGTGCAGGCGTATGCGTCAAAGTTAGTACATGTGTGTACGACCCCATGCACACTCACGTGTGCACGTGCATGTTAAGTGTATATAGTATGTACATTTGTGTAAACACCAGTGCTTCGGAAGACAAAGGCTAACGGCACTGGCCATAATGATGCATAGGGCTGAACGAGATGTTTGCGTGCGTGTGGATGTGCGTTAGGCCTGGATGTCGATCGTATCCGTCGCGAGGGGCGACTGGGACACCTGGACAGCGCGCGGTGCATCGGAGACTACAGGATCAAGCTCGGTTATAAGGACATCGAGGTGCTCAGGTGAGACGGCGACATCGACACCCCCGCACACATCAACGACATCCGTCCTCGGCGCACCGACGTCATCATCGCCAGTCAACTTGACACTGTCAACAGGGGCCATCGGCAATGAACGCCGACGGACAAACATCATCGACATCAATACGAACATCTAAAGCGAAACCATCAACAACATCAACAACATCAACACCAAGGTCAATGTTTACATGCCAAAGCCATCGACACTGATATTGAGAGCCATCAATTATTGACACATCGTCAATACCAAAAGAAAAAGAAACCCCGTGTATAGCCTGAACAGAGTGTTGTGGAAAACGTTGTTAGTGAACAGCTATGAAGCCAGGAATGCCACACGAGGGAGTGGGTGGCTCGCACAGACGCTTTTGTCTCCCGAGTGGCGATGTTTACACACCGCACTCGGTACTCATTTGAGGCTGAGTCAACCTCGGGGAGGCCTGAGGCCAGTTCAAATAATTGTTTGCTGGTGTTGGCCGTGAGCGGGAATCGAACTCGGGTAGCCGGGTTCGCAGCGCAGCGCGCTAACCGCTACACTACCACTCCCACATCATCAACACCACCAACAGTGACACCAACAACACACATATCAACATCAACGCTGACATTATCAGCAAAATCATTAACACTTACATCAATGCCACCAATATCACACAACGAATACCCTCATCAACAAACGCTGACAATGGCAGACACTGACACGCCACAAATTACCTCAAACAACAACAACCACAACCTCCTCTGCCACCACCGACGTCACTCCCCGCGCTCGCGGTTTTGTGCCTCAGCGCGGCAACATCGGAGCCAGTGACGGCAGAGCCTGAGATTCATGGCGGCACGTCGCTCGACGCCACCGTGGGCTTCCTGTTGCTCGTGTCGGATGGGCTGTATCGCGCGCTTGACGCCACGCTCGGCCCGGGCCACGCCAACCAGGTGCCTGCTCACTCAACTGCTCGCCCGCTCACCCGCTCACCCACACGCGGAACGTGTAAACGCACGTTCACTTGTGTACACGCGTGCATGCGCACATGCTCGTACGTTTGTGCGTACGTGCTTGCTCTGGCACTCGTCTACGCACGGACAAACGTGCGCTTGCTCGTACACTGGTGCACACACCAGCGATGAGCCACTGCCTCTCAATGCTCATTTGAGTAGGAAATCATTTGAGTAGGAAATCAATGACTTTGAACAAAAAAAAAATTACACGCAGAAGCGAAGTCTTTAATTGTCTCCGCTGTGGTGTTAATCATCTCCCGCCCTTGCGTGCGTGTGCAGGAGCTGGCGCTGATGGTGGCGCGTGAGCTGGGCGCACGCACCTCGGTGGACGTGGCGGCTCAGGCTGTAGTGAAGCGCGTGGCCCGGCTTCACCAGGAGGCGTGGGCGAGCCACGGGGAGCGAGCGCACGCTTGCGAGCATCACGACGACATGACGCTGCTCGTGCGCAACCTCGGCTTCCCGCTCGGCGGCGCTGGTGGGGCCGGCGCTGTCACCGGCGCTGCCGCGGCTGTGGCCACGGCACTGGGCACGGGGAGCCCTGGTGTTGGTGCTACGGTGAACCCACTGTCGCCAGGTACACAGTGGGGGCACATATACGCACAGAGGAGCGGGACTGTGTGTCTGTGCGTGAGGGCTAATGATATGGAAAGCGGAAGTGTATAGGTTAGTGCGCTATGAACCCGGCAACCTGAGTTTGATTCCCACTCATGACCAACACCAGTGACGATTATCTGAACCGGTCCTGGACCTCCGCTAGGTGAACTCAGTTTCAAATGACTATCTGGTGCTATGCGTAAACTTCGCCACTTGGGAGACAAAGGCGGCCGGGCGTGGTGCTGGCCACCCACACCCTCGTGCGCCGTGTTGGCCTTCATAGGTGCTACTCGCGAATGGCACTTCCCCTAAAAACGGGGGATCTTTGGCTTTTGTCTTTCTGTGTGCAGGTACCCGCGTGTACCCAGTCTCCGTGCCGTACAGCAGCACCGCCCACGACGCCGCAGCCGCCACCGCCACCGCCGCAGCCGCCGCTGCCGCCGCCGCCGCAGCCGCCACGGGCAAAACGAGCGTAACGCTGTCGCTCGTCATGCCATCGCAGGGGCAGCTCGTTAACGGGAGCGCTGGGGGGGCGGGGGGTCTGGCCGGCGGCGTTGTCGCGGGCGGAGCCTTGGCGGCAGCCGATGTCAGCACCGAGGGCTCCGGCAGCGACGACCTCACGCACGGCACGCTCACCAACAGGTTGCTGTGCTCGTGCCGGATGCCTGGCCGACGACTCTCGCCACAGTGGTTTTAACACTCGCCGCACTTGTTCTACTTTCACCGCACCTTGTTGTGGAGGGCACCTGCTCAGCAAAACACTTGCTTGATGCTGTTACTGTGAATTTTTTTTATTGCTGTATTGAAATTGTTGGTTCCGTTCTTATTGTGTCAGTTTTGTGCTGTTAGTGTGCTTTTGTCTTTTTGTTTTCAGTTTTGTTTTCAATGTTGTGTTATTCTATTACTGTTATGCGTTATTGCTGTGTTTGTGTTCTTGGTTATGTTATTATTGTGTCGGTTTTGTGTTAGTATGTTATTTCTCTATTGTTCTTCTCAGCTGTGTTGTTATTGTGGGTTGTGTTATTACTGCGTGTGTTTTGTGTTAGTATGTTATTTCTGTATTATTCTCAGCTGTGTTGTTATTGTGGGTTGTGTTATTACTGCGTGTGTTTTGTGTTATTTGTTGGCTACTCCACACCTCCGATTAACATGATGGCTACGGACGATGCGAAAGAAGTTCAACATACGTACGTTTGCCAACACCTGTCGTGTCCACTTACACATACAGCTCACGTAATACCAACACCTTTCTGACACGCACGCATGCACCCAACAGGCGCTCGCTATACGCACACCAGAAGGTTTTTCCCGATCGTGCATTGACACGTATTCCACACGCACAAGGACGCACACACCGTGACGCTGGCTACGGAAACACATGCCCAACACCTGTGAAACTAGTATTCGACGCACACCAACGTCCGTTCTACGCTCGGGTAATTTCGTCTGCTCGAGTATTTGAGCAATTACGCATGGTGGTGAGATGTTAACTACCTCACCTGGTATACAGGAGGTCGTGGGTTCGATCCTGACCCTGACGCCTGTATATTTGGAGTTTGCGTATTCTCTCCGTTGTCCCATGTATTTTTATCCCGAGTCCCCCAATTTTTCACTCCACATTTAGAAAAATGTGTTTAGAGTATTTGATATAAATTTCGACGTAATACGTCACTTAGTTGAGCAAAAATTCACTTCTGAAAAAGAGCTATATAGCTCAGTGGGCCTTACCTGGTAAAGCAAAAATGATTTAGCTTTATATTTTAGCTCATTCGCTCAACACACCAACATCCATGGAACCTGTGAGTCGGAATCGAACTCGGATCGCCAGGCTCGTAGCGCGGTGCAGACGTCTCCCACTATTCCACTGCTCACCACGTACACACCTGAGCTCCCAGACTTGCTGCGAGCGTAAAAAAATTCCACATTTAATTATCCGGTAGCAGCGCAGATTAGCGGTCGCGGCCGCAACGAACGTGGTAACGCGGGGGGGGGGGGGAAATTGGGGAAGCGCCGCCTCTCTAAATGAATCGCCCTCTCGCCGCGCTGGAAGCACTGTTCACGCTTGTTTGCGTTAATACAACCGCGACGCTCACGCGCGGCGACTCGGCATATGGGTTTCAAAACAATCACACGGATCTTTACAGGTGTAGAGTAACAGCTCTGGAAGCGGGACTGATTGTGGCATGAGCCTCTCCAGTTTAAAGCGGATATCCGGCATGAATTAAATGATTAAATACTGAAGAATTTCAAGCTAATATTCACTTGGAAGACGTAATTAACACCGAATGCATGCCCGTGCCCTCCTGCGTGCATGGCCGTGCGTTCCCAAAAAGTTTAAGGCGAGCTCTCCACCTTTGACCCGAAGGATGTGGCCGTTAAGGGGTGTGACCTCGGGTGTGGCTTCAGCCTGAGGACTTCGAGGACTCGTTTCAAACTAGTCACCTACTTGTTCTCTCTCACAAAGACGACTTTCGTAACATGTCCAAACTGCGACTGATTGATAAATTGAATTGATAAAAGTTTAATGTTTTCCTACAATTAGATTCTGAGGCTCCGGCCCTTGACTGACCTCAGCCTTGTGGCTCCCGGCCGCGACCTCAACCCCATGGGTTGACGCCTTGAACCTGTTTCCCGTTCCTTCCCGTGCGTCTAACCCAGGGGTCGGGAACCTTTTTTACTGGGAGAGCCATAAAAGCCAAATATTTCTAAATATATTTCATTGACAGCCATATAGTATTTTTAACGTATATTAAATTAAATATGTCTTACTTTTAATGCGACTTTTGGTCACGGAACCCGTGACCCGAGAAATTTTATCTTCAAAACTAATTTCTGTTTACTTTAAAATGACACAGTATTATTAAGCAATATCACAAGTATTTTAAAATCAGTTCCAAACTGATTTTATTTTTATTTTTTTATTATTATTTTTTTCAACTCAAAATTGTCTGGGAGCCATATGCCGTCACCGAAAGAGCCATATATGGCTCGCGAGCCATAGGTTCCCGACCGTTGGTCTAACCGTTCACAACAACACCCTCCGCCGCCGCCCTTCCCTTCCCCTCTCTCTCCTCCCCTGTGGCCTTCCCAGCCCCCACACGACTCTGCGCTCGGGCGGCAGCACCACCCGCACGCGCAGCTCCAGCTCCAGCTCTGGGGGCGAGGGGACGCTGTTCCAGCGGCCGCGCGCCTCCCTCGCGGCGCCCCCGGACCTGGACGGGCGCGTGGAGCCCTACGTGGACTTCTCCAACTTCTACCGACTGTGGGGCGCTGAGCACGCGGACAGCGCCACCCCGCTCGCCACTCCCACCCCCTGAGAAAGCTCTTGCCCACCACCACCACCTCCCACCACCCCACCCTCACCCCACCCTCACACCCCTCACCTCACCCCTCACCCCACCCCCCTCACCCCACCCTCCTCACCCCACGCTCACCCCACCACCACCCACCTCCCCCCCCCTCACCCTACCCCACCCACCCCAGGCGGCGGGGGAGGGCAGTTCAGAATCAGAATATTTATTGACACTGGATGAATATCAGGTGAGCCGTGAAGCTGTTTTCCCACAGTTGTCCAGTAGGTGGCGGGTGAGAACGTTACGGTAACAAACAAAACAAAAACACGATAGGGTGTAAAAGTATAGGAAAGGTAAACAAATCACTGAACAAAAATATACAAATATAACTTTTTTATTTTACCACGTAAAGCCCACCGAGCTATTAGTTTTTTTCCCGAAGCGACCTGGTTATCACACATTATAGTTGTTGGGGGGGGGGGGTTACACCCAGAGTATCACGGGTGAGCCGTGAAACCTTGGCGAGGTCCCCGGGGAACGCTTAAGCCTGGCCTAGCAAGACTGCCCCACGTAGACCCCTCTTTTGGTTTAGCACTTGCTTCATCAACCTCAAAGGGATGGGTGATAGGACTGTTGTAAAAACCCAGCCGCGATTTAGACTCCCACACGTCTGATTACAAGGACAAAACACTCTGCTACGGACACAAGCCGTGCCAAGCAGGGCTGTCAGTGCCACCAGAGCGAGTGGTAGTTGGGGGGAGGGGGGGCAAATCACCCGATTTCACCCCTCCCCCGCAACCCCCCCCCCCCCCCCCCCCATGGATAGAGGTCAGAAACCAATTGAGTTCGATTCTGCAGTAAAACAGCTACAGGCACTCGTGAAATTTAACCGCTCGTTAGGTCTCGTGTGGTGGAGTCTCGTGTCGGCACGCCCACCTCTTAAAAAAAATGCCTGGCCATCATGGAAGAGTAGGCCATGTGTAATAAGCGTCTCCGACACAGGTTAACTTCAGTTGTATTTATTCTTAAGTTGCGGTACAGCACGCGTCTCTGCCTCTCTCTCTATCGCGACCTGCTTCTCTCCCCTCCCCGCTGCCGGCTGACCGCGTGTCGGAGAGAGGAGAGGCTCTGCTGGTGGAGTCCGCCACGTGGCTGATGGAGCGCAGCGGTGATGACGTTCAAGCCCAGGCTCTTCACACCGACGACCTCGAGTCCTCGATTGCTTCGGCTTATATCAGAGGTCGCAAACGGGTTTTGATTCCTTACCCGTAACCGTACCCGGCCGCACCAGGGTCGCAAACGGGTACCCGTACCCGGCCGGGTAGCCGGCTAGTGTACGGGTATCGGGTACCCGTACCCGGCCGCGTAGCCGGCTAGTGTACGGGTATCGGGTTGCGACCTCTGGCTTATATCCCTCTCGGTGGACTAAGCCCCGCCTCTAGCCACGCCCCTCTCGGAACCTTCCAGAGGGCTCTCCAGGCTTCCCCGCTAGCTCCGCCCATTTACCTTTCACCCAGATGGAATCCCTCTCACTGATTGGATGTGAGACAACGTAACACGTACCTGCAATAACCACCCGGTCGTCCTGTAGGTGGCGCACTCTCATTACACACGTACACTCGAAAGGGGCACTTTTGAGCTCATAAAGATCCTTCTTGGTCGCAGTCGTGTGAGCAAGGAATTGCAGGTCTGCGCCCTTTAGTAGTAAAGTAGTACGTCACAAACTTGAACATACTGTCGATGCCTCTGGTTAAAAATGGCGTCTGGACGCTGCAGCCTAAGGGATGTGTAAAAATACAATCGCTTGTAATCTGGTAAAACTTAAGCCGTCGCGTGCTTTATTTCCTCGACTATCGCTCCTCCATGCAGCAGAAGCTGATCCTCTTAAGTTAAAGCAGTGATGGTCAATACACCAAGCACTGTGCTGCTTTTTGGTGGATCTCAACGGGCTCTGCGATCCACCAGAAAGCTTTGACCAAAATTTACCACTCTATTAACATAAAGTACCAGCGATATCATGTAGGTGTGAACTTTTTTAAACGTATGTTTTAGTTGGGGATTTTTATTTGCAATCAGCTGTCTGCTTGTGGGAGTGTTTTAATTTTGTGTTTAGATCCACAAAAAATATTTTACGATCCACGTATTGGACACCGCTGAGTTGGAGAATCATTTTTTACGATTAAACCTTTCCCATTCTGATGACGTATGTGTACGTCATCGGTTTTTCTTCCGATTCCATTCCGATAATGTGCGTTTACCGCATCGGAACGGAATCCATGCCAATTGGAATCGAATCTACTTCGAACGGAATTGGAACTGATTTTGATTGGATCCGAATCGATTTCGAAAGGAATTGGAAGTAAAACTACTGTGGGAGGGCATGTGGCACAGTTTAGCGCTAGCTATCACAGAGAGTGCGGTCGTGTCACTACAGTTCTCTGTCGAGAGAAGAGTACATTGTCTTTAAAAACAGCAGCGCTCCGCCTCTAAATAAAATTTACCGCTTGCGCGTTTCGAGATTCAGCAGTGAACAGGACCCACCCTGCAACTTGCAGGCATCTCGGAACGGGAAAGGGTTGAGAAAAGTGGGCTGGGGCAGGACGCGTCGCTCGATGCAAATATGGCAGATGGTCGAAAACTACGGACAAACTGTCAGCCAAAGGGGAAAAAAGTTCCTGAGAGGACGTCCACGTACAATTGACACTTGAGAAGATGGAGCAATGAATTCGGCTCTTGTAGAAATACTGGATTAAGTAGTCGATCATTAATGGCAGTGGCCTTTAACCAGCAGCCGATAGCTGATGCCTGATGAAGCTTTGCAGCGTCGTCTCAACAACACCCTAACCACACACCCCACCCCAGTGTGTGTCCCCCCCTCTCCGCACTGAAATTGTTGCAAATGGTTTAATTTTCACCCCTGCTCAGCCAATTGTAACATCGCAGCACCGCCTATGAACGGACACTGCCTCAATAAATTGCCCAGTGTCTTTTATTGAACCATATCGGAGTCCTTTGCGATTTTTGTTTCGTCTCACAATGGAGATATGGAAAACCTTGTGTGATGTAATTGTAAAATACAGCTCGGCTTTGCAACTCCTGTTTTTCCAGCCACGTAATATTTGAACGAAGCCTTGAATGCGTCCAATCTCATCAGATCTCCGAAGTTGAGCAGAATTCAGCCTGTGTCGTGCTTGCAACGGGCGCATCGCTGCGCTGAAGCAGGCAGCATCGGCTGCTGCGTGGCAACTTGGAAGGCAATGCAGAAAAAGTCAATAACGTGCAGCAGAATCCTTGTCCATCGCGTTGGAGGTGACGTTCTTGAAAATAGCTGCAATCGGCAACTCCCGTGATCCGCAAACTTAAAAAGGCAAATCGAAAAACGCGAGGGGGTTTGGTTCATGGTCAACTGCGAATGGTGAACTATACATCAATAACTATACATCAATAACTATACATCAATAACTGTACATCAATAACTGTACATCAATAACTATACATCAATAACTATACATCAATAACTATACATCAATAGCTATACATCAATAGCTATACATCAATAACTATACATCAATAGCTATACATCAATAGCTATACATCAATAGCTATACATCAATAACTATACATCAATAATTATACATCAATAACTATACATCAATAACTATACATCAATAACTATACATCAATAACTATACATCATGGGACCTCCTTTGCCAGTACCAAAATATGAGAATAGGTTTTCGACTTTTTTCTGGCAACAAAACAGTTGTGTTAAGATGTTAAAACACCAAACTGAAACCTTTTTTGGCGTCCTCTGGTCTAACACCATTTGAGACTAGGCTCCAAAGAAAGCTGTCTCTGGTGTGGACCAATCAGTTTCAAAGACAATGCATATATTATACTCTTTGGTTTTTTCGGTAAAGTCACGTAGGTAAAACAATAAATAAAATAAATGAAAACAACTAAATTAAATCACAACGTTTCGGAGGCAACACAAGTCTCCCTCAGGTATAAAAAGTCACAGCAAAATAACTGTAGCAAGAGTTATTTATGATGAGTATGAATCCTTGCAGTCACGAAAGCTTCAAATTTAAAATTAATGCATATATTATCAGAGTATGTTTTTTTGTTTGCATTCTGACCACAAGCATTGTGGTTAACGCAGACATGAATCCTCGTAAAAGGTTTCAGTTTGTTGTTTTAACATCTTAACACCTGTTTTGTTGCCAGAAAAAAGGGGAACACCTATTCTCATATATATACCTCAATAAATTTGTCGCAAAACTGCGAAAGCTAAACCCCGTGAGATGGAAGGGTTTGCTGTACTCTACTGCTATGCTCCTATGTCTGTTCTCCCCGCCTTCAACCCGCGCTGGACCAATTTGCAGCACAGCAAATTCACCCCCAGTAAAATGCCACGTTATATATTTAAACGAAACAAAACCTTTTATTTTAGCAGGTCAGGCCCGCTGAGCTATATGGCTCTTTTTCAGAAGTGACCTGGCCACATGAAAGCTGAACGAGGTGGTTAACTACGTGGAAAGTTTCAGCAGCCAAGTACTCCAAACGCATGTTTCTAAATGTAAAGGGGGGAAACCGGGGGACCTGGAGAAAAATCCACGCGACCACGGGCAGAACATATCAACTCCACATTCAGGCGTCAGGGTCAGGATGGAACCCACGGCCTGTACACCAGGCAAAGGAGTTGACATCGGTGCAATCAACTCCCTGCCACTGTTCAGATCCCGGCCCAACACCTTTTTCCCTCTGCCTAGGACCGACTGGCTCTAAAATAAACATGCCTACTGCTTCTTCTTGGTTCTTTCGGTAAAGTCACGTAGAAGGGAAGTAATAAAATAAAAATAAACATTATAAAGTAATAATGATTTTTATTATTTTATTACTTCCCTTCTACGTGACTTTACCGAAAGAACCAAGAAGATGAATCCCTGCAGTCACGAAAGCTTTAAATCGAAATTTATGCCTACTGCTTGTTTACGGCGTCTTCAGATGCGGTCACATTTGACTAAAATAAATCTGTGCATGTACAAAATACAATCGGGTTTACGGAGATGCTCACCTCTTAGTTACTGACATATCTTGCTGCTGCTTTGTGTTTAAGGCCTGTGACAAACCCCCAGTTGTGTCATTGTTTTGAAAAGAATGTGCGTATAATTTAGAATGTGGGATGTGGGTTGCGACGCCAATGAGAAATTGGAGTATTGACAATAACCACCATTGCCATCGTATTATCACCATCACCGCTGCCTCCAGCATCAGCAACACATATATACTGTATATAAACTACCACTATGCATCGGCATCATATATATTTAACTTATTTCGCACTGTACATAGGGGCCGTCCATAAATGACGTCACGCGATTTAGGACTATTTTTGACCCCCCCCCCGTCATCACACGGCGTTACAAAAAGTCAGACCCCCCCCCCCTCAAATATGACGTCACAAAGCTCTGCCCCCCCCCCCAAAAAAATTAAACATGCTTCAAATCGCTATAAACTATTGTCATTGTAGTGCGTATTTAATGTGGCGCTCCACTCTGATGTTGTAGGAGAAAACATTTATTAAAAAGTCTATTTAATTTACGAGAACGTGTTGTCTATATTTATTGAAAGTTGCGCATTTTGATGCGACGTCACATTTCTCACCCCCCCCCCTTCGTCACACATCGTCACAAATGTCTGACCCCACCCTAAGTGCGTGACGTCATTTATGGGCGGCCCCTCAGTACTGTGTTTAATGTTTTGCATTCTGCATCTGATGACCTGAATTCGATTCCTGGCCAAGGCTAACAGCAGTGGCAGAGCCTGGGGCACTTTTGCCAAATTCACCATGCGCCCGCAACTAACCAGTGTGGTGAACCTCGGTCAGACAACCAACCCGTGTCTATGATAGTGCTTCCCCCTCGCGCAGCTTGTGTTTTCTCCAGCAGTTTCCGGTTTCCTCCCACGTGTATAATAAGCACTCAATAATTAGCGAAAAACAAAACATAAAAGCCCGATGTGGCAGCAGAACCCTCCTGAAAAGTCCCCACGACTTAGTGTGGCTCGCCTGGATAAATACGTAAATCATCATCATAAGCGACATGCCTTCCTCATCCAGAAGCGTTTTGACAACGATGCGGTAAGTTATTCGTGTGATTCATCTTCTTGGTTCTTTCAGGAAAGTCGCGTAGAAGGGAAGTAATAAAATAATAAAAATGAAACATAATAAAATAATTCTCACGACGTTTCGGCCACAACGCAAGCAGCCGTCCTCAGGTGAAAACCAGGTCTGTCGGGGAGACAGCGTCTGAATCGTGAGAATTATTTTATTATGTTTTATTTTTATTATTTTATTACTTCCCTTCTACGTGACTTTACCGAAAGAATCAAGAAGATGAATCCCTGCAGTCACGAAAGCTTTAAATCGATATTTATTCGTGTGATTGTTAATATTTAGTTGCTGAAAATGTTCAGTTCTGCATCAAGGAAAGCTTTTTATTAGCGTGGGTCATTCGCATTTTGTATTTGTGTGTGTAGGCGATTGGGTTGGCTATTAACCCCGACCGTGAGTAAAAATAATACACGTGGAGAAGGGTACGAGAAAAATCCCGTTGTATTCCACGCCATGTGACTACTGCCCTTTGTGCGTGATTATAATAATTTCAACGTATACTATCAGTAATCAGCCCATTAGAACTAACGTGCTATTCAGCAACGTATAGTCACACACACATAACAATCCTACACACACACTGACGAACAATTTACACAAATGTAGTGACATAGAATCGGTCACGTAGCAGCATAGCGCTGGCTGCTGGCGGTGAAGGGGGTCTGCAGCTTACAGCAGCCCTGACTGACATCAGGTCACGTGATAGAGCAGAGAGGGATCTCGGGGGAGGGGCACACCGAGAACCCGCTGGTAGGTTCCAGAAGGGGGGCGTGCCGGGGGCGGAGCCAGGCCACGCTGGCAGTATAAGAGGGGCCCCGGGAGATGCAGATGCCACTGGTTCTTCGTGTTCTACAGATGTAGATGCCACTGGTGGTTCATGTCCTGCAGATGTAGATGCCACCGGTTCCTCACATGGCTTCAATAATACATACGGACAGGATTGTTTGTATCTCTGAACATTTATAAGTCGAATATTCGTAAGTAGAGGAGTCCCTGCAATGGCATTTTCTTTGACACATTGAGGCAGGCATCTGGCACGATCTGGAATAAGGTTCCGTCTGATCTCAACACACCAACATGCACACATGCCCTCCCACTCCTGTCAACTCCCACTGGCTATATTGGTGAAATATGATCATACAAACTGCCGGTGTTAGACTGACAAAGAAGTCTGTGAATAATTCGTATTTATGCACGATGATGTGACGTTGATGCGCAGTGTGGCGGCAGTGGTGTGGAGTTTGCCGAGTCGAGCTACTGTGCCGGTGTGAAGATGTGACGAGACGGTTCCACGATTTACGCAGTTCCCTAGGCGACGGCTGTTCACGTTTTACTGCTAACAGGCGCAACAAGCTCGATCTCGGGGCTAATGTGGGGAAACCGTGGGGCCATTCACGCGGTGAAGCGCTGTGCCACATTTAACCGAGGTAGCAGGACTCACTCCCCGGGCGCTGCAACCGGCAGCAGTGAGAAGTTGGCAGACACTTTTATTTAATTTTACCAGGTAAGGCCCCCCACTGAGCTATATTCTAGATTTGAAACTTTCGTGACTGCAAGGATTCATATTCTTAGGTTATTTCGGTAAAGTCACGTAGGTACAAAATAAAAATTAATAAAAGTAAAATAAAATTAAAATAAAATAAAAATCACGACGTTTCGGAGGCAACGCAAGCTTCCGTCTTCAGGTGGAACCGTCACAGCCACGCTTGATACAGCAAGCGTGCTGTGACGGTTCCACCTGAAGACGGAAGCTTGTGTTGACTTTACCGAAAAAAACATAAGAATATGAGCTATATTGCTCTTATTCGGAAGCGACACTGGCTATCACAAATGATAGCTCAGCGAAGTGGCTTATCGTGTGGAAATGTATAGCAGCCAAATACTCTAAACGCACGTTGATTCTAAACGTGGAGGGAAAAACTGAAGGACCCGGAGAAAATGCCATGCGACCACGGGGAGAGACACGCAAACTCAAAATATATAGAAAGGCGTCAGGGTCGGGATCGAGCCCACGACTTCCTCTACACCAGGCGAGGTAGTTAACATCTCGCCACCGCAGCACCGATCACCAGCATATTCGCCAAACGTAGTGATCCATTTAAAGTTTGGTCCAGCATGACTGGGGTAGATAGAAAAAGTATAATGCGCGTGGTAATGAACATGAGTTCCGTAACTGTTATCCACCAAACACCAAAGCGTGACTGAAGAGATGTAACTCTTGAATTAAGACGTCGACTTCAAGGTTGAATTTTGACTAAGCAGGTGGTCTATGCAAACATGACTCCTTGTAAAAAAAGGTGTCAGTTTTGTTGCCAGATAAAAGGGTAAAAAACAATTATGTTTTTT